GTGTCAGAGCTGAGAGAGGATGGCTTAATCAGCTGGGACACTCTCAGCATTGATTTGACAAGCTGCCGTAATGACCTTCTTGTTTTTGTAAAGGATCACTGTTTATCTGAGCTGGCACTGATGCACTGAGCATGCCGCATCGTCATGGAAACTATTATCACGGCCAAGCAAGGGCTCCTAAAGATGATGTCGAATGTGACTCGAGGGGGGTCGCCCGGGACGGGGGTCTGTTGCCACGGTGACAGCTCCTCCTCCTCTGACTGCTGTCCGTCTGAGACACGCGAATGACTCCCGTAGAGATGCCATTTGAGTCTTGAGCGGTGACGGCGGACGAATCCGAGGGGTGACTTTGACTTGAATAATAGTTTTGAAGAATTGTCATGTTGAAAACAAACCCCATCAAGTGTGCAACAAATTGATTAAGTGTTTGATATTAGAAATTTCTCACTTTCATGTACTCTGCTGACAATCCACCCAGAAAATTGTTTTTGATTTTAGCGCCTATTGATTTGCTAAATGGCCCATAATGGCCACTCGAATGTGCTCGAATGTATTCATGTATGAAAATGCCCACCTACGCCCGACCTCGTCGACTCTGATAGTTGTAGCTCTGGCCCTGATGAAACGAACCTCCGGCCACCTCTCCACATTTCAATAACGTTATGCTTTAATTCATAATAAGCAGCCTTACGGTGGCACCCAGGATGATCTTAGGAGTATATTTGCGGAAGGATTCAGGAATGAGGATGCTGTCAGGTGGATGGGTGTAATCAGCCCGTCCGCCCCCACCCCTCCGCCTCCTTCCCAATCTTTTCCCCCCACAGCCCATGTGTCAGACAGTAAATATTACTGGCGTACTGACAAGCCTGGAGCCGTGACTCACCGTGTAAAATCGTTAATAAGCAGCATGATGGGGCCACTACATCCCAAGGTGAGAATGTAGGGGGCTGTTTTCATCCACAATTATCCAAAGGACAGCATGAAGTGTCCACGGCGAGATGATTTGTGGGCTGAAAACAAGAGTGCTTTGTCTCGGCAAAGAGATGAGGGCTTGGGAGCAGGCAAGGGAGATGGAGAGAGGTCAAACAGACGGGAGTGAGCATGTGTATTACAAATTCCCCCCACAGCCCATGTGTCAGACAGTAAATATTACTGGCGTACTGACAAGCCTGGAGCCGTGACTCACCGTGTAAAATCGTTAATAAGCAGCATGATGGGGCCACTACATCCCAAGGTGAGAATGTAGGGGGCTGTTTTCATCCACAATTATCCAAAGGACAGCATGAAGTGTCCATGGTGGGATGATTTGTAGGCTGAAAACAAGAGTGCTTTGTCTCGGCAGAGATGAGGGTTTGGGAGCAGGCAAGGGAGATGGAGAGAGGTCAAACGGACAGGAGTGAGCTTGTGTATTATAAATTGTTGGTTCTTACCACTGGCATTTAATGCTAAAAAAAAGTAGTTGTAAAAGCAGTATTCTAGTATACAAAAACCCAGGTCACATATTATGGACCCACTTTATATTGAGTGCAACAGGAACACAGTAACAGACTAACTGAAGTACTATTATATTAATTTATTTGCACATCTTAGAAACAAATTTCACTTAGAAGTAGGTAGTAAATTTCACAAATAATGAAATAATGTATTCACAAATAAAAAGCATTGAAGTGCTATTTTCTTGTAAAACATACTCCAATAATCTTTGGTCTGTGTATATATATATATATATATATATATATATATAGT